TTGTCAAATGTCATCTTAGCTTATGTTAGATTACAGAAAATTAAGAAAACTTATACCTTATTGAAGAGATAAGCCTTCCCATGCATGCAATGGAAAGACTTAATAAAAGAACACAAGCAAATATTGAATCAGAACACTTACTGTGTTAGAAAATATCAATATATTCAAGGACCTCACCTAACTAACAGCTTAAGCTTTTACGTTGAATGATTCTTTGAGATGGTATCAAAGCCACTTTGACCATGTGAGAGCCTGCAAAACAATCGTAACATTAACTGGACACTGAAAACACACATTATTCTTATTATTTTTAAGAAAAAAGCTTCAATACGCACAATCCATCATACTGTTATAGCTTTAGTATGTTATGTTTAATTTTAAAATCTAGTTGCAAATACGGACTTGTGCCCCACAACATGGTTGGAAGGATTTAAATTCAAATTAATGGAAAAAATTGTGGAAATGCAACTTATAGAGAAAAAAAAAAAGAGAATGTGATTCATGTTTGTTAAGTTGGAGCAAAAACAATAGAGCCAGTTGAGATACAGTCACCAATGACAAAAACATGAACCTCAGATGAGCCTTAATTGCTATTCTTTCAAGAAGACAACTGACTAGCTTCTTAATAAATGTTTGTGTTTATGCCTTGCATTTTCAGACATTAAACTTTAGTATCATCTTCAGGATGTCAAAGCAAGTAGTTGATATCAACATCAAATGATACAAACCAAATGCACCATTCCTTGTGTTTCAACCAATCGCTTTAACCATACAACATGAAGCCCTTGCAAGTAGGGGTGAGCATGGGCTGATTTGGTCCGGTTTTATGGCAGAACCTAAAACCTACCTTGTAGGGGTTGGTTCCAGATTTTTGGAACCGGAACCTACTTTGTGAAGGTCAGTTCTGGCCTTGGTGGTTCCAAGGTCTATACATAGAACTTGTACTTTCTTTAGTCTCCTTCTTCACAAAAAAAAAAAATCTTTAAAAACTTGATTTTTGATAAATATAATATATAGTTTAAAACTTATATTATCTTTATTGATTAAATTGGATAACTTAATATATGGATTACCATTATATGGTTAAAGAACTTATAAATTAAATTTAAATTTTGCAAATATTCCCTTTTACGCTACTTATTGTATATATTCAAATATTAAAATAAAAATAAATGATCAAATCACTTAAGTAACTCAATAGTCAAGTGAGACCATGGCCTTTGTAACCATGAATTCTTTGGGTTCAAATCTTCACATCTCCAAAAGTACTCTGGGGTTTATTTCAAGGCAAGTTCAGTTCCAAGGTTGGTTCCAACAAGGTCAGTTCCACCAAGGCCAACCAAGGCCGGTTCATTGGGTCGGTTCAGGTAGGATAAACCCTTAGATCCTGGAACTGGCCTGGATGGGGGTCGATTCCAAGAATTTGGAATCAGACTCTACCCTGTAACAGATTGGATAGGATCCGTTCAAGACCGGTTTAAGGTCGGCTCCATTCGATTCCGAGTAGAACCTACCCATTTGCTCACCCCTACTTGCAAGAACTTAAAGTTTTGCTACTGCATACTTTAGGAATGTCCTTATTGACACCATTTTACACCAACCCCAAGCAAGCTTTGTCCTTTAAATCTTCTTTATGCTCTTATTTGCTTTATTGGGCAAGTTTGGAACATGCCTACTCTATAGTATATACAAATGAAGTTACAAAAGTTCCTGCCAAGTAGTAAACTCTGCAGAACAAAAAAAAAACTAAAATAATTAAAAATAAAAATAATAAAAAGCTTGGGTAATGTGAAGATTTACACAAATTAACTGATAATATAGTTTTCACATTGAACCAAAAAAGTAAATAGAACTACAAAAGAAGCTAAAATTGAAAAAGAGAAAAGAACAAAGAAAGAAAGATCTGATATAAAAGGGTCCTTTGCAACCCTAAAAAGAAATTTTGTAAGGGAGGGTTGATCATTTCCACAAAAATATACCATGAAAAGGATTTATTTTTAGGAATGATCAACGACTAACTTCTAAGCAGCAGTACTAACTTATAAATTAAAAAACATAGCAGTGATTGGTAATATTCCAGTAGAACAATTCTTCCTGTTATTGGAAACAGAAATAGTTGTTTCTCTGTTCCCATAACAGAAACCACAGTTGGAACTTATCAAGTGCTGCCACAATCTCAGCATAAAATGTTTTATGATTTATTACTTAGCAAACAAATTTTAAGTGAAACAGAAAATAAGCAAGTTTTTCTTCAGTTTAATTTTTTTGTCAAGAAATCTGACGAGTTATTACCAAAACAGGTCAAGAATTATTCATTAATAATTTAGAAAATTGAATAATACAAGCTAGAAGATTAGAACCATCATCTCACCACCAAAACCCATAAAGAGAACTTGATTGTCGACCAAAAGTGAATAATATAGCACATAGCATAAAAGATAAGAATAAGAACTTGATTGCATGGGTATTCTTACTCTGAGGTTTTTCCCTATTGACATCGAGGTCTAAATTGGGCCATACTGGACCGGTCTGACACAACTTTGCAGGTCACCCGTGCTCTGCTGAGCCATGGGCCGAGCCTTAAACAAAGTAATAAATCTTCCCCCCCCCCCAAAAAAAAAAAAAAAAATCTTTCAGTAGCCCTTAAGATTCACTTAAAATATTTTCTTACCAAAAATCACCTTAGTTGCAGGATTTTACAAGCTGAATTTTGGCCCATTTGGTCTGGGTTCCAACGTGTCATCAATTATGGAGCAGGACCAACCCGTTTGGGAAGGCTTTCATATTGCTGCTTTTGGCTTTGCAAGGTGGAGTCTACCTGAAAGCCTATATAAATGAAAAGTTCGGAGAGCCCAAACTTGTTATTGTTTGGACTCTTACGTAACTCTTCTGTTGAAGCTTCTTTTAATGGCTTTTTCAAAGAAATTGGGCCAAATCTTAACTGCTCTCAAACGGGATTTAAGTTTTTTAATTTTTTTTTTGAGAAAAAAAGGGGATTTAAGTTGAGAGTTAGAACTACCAACCTAGTCATAACCAATATTGGGAAGGATAATCTCCATGTCAACAAAAAACCAAGTCCCAGTGCAAATTATGGAGCAGATGCAAAATTTGTACCTGGTTTAGTTTTGATTTTGTTTGTTTGTAATTATGGTTTGCATTTCTACCTAATACAATTAAAATTTGCATTTGTCTCTTTTGCATTCATTGATAGTACAAATTTTTTATCTCAAAAACTGATGCAAAATTGGCACCACTTTCCTCTTACCCCAATTCATTCACATATAGTGGGGACTACATCATCTTTCATCCTACTTTATTCCTAGAAAGATGACTGTCTTCTTACCTCCACTCTCTTTCATAGAGGTGTAAAGTGGGCCGTGCTGGGCCGGCTATTTATTTAAAAAAAATTGACAAAAAACTTAAAATTTTAATTTTATATGAATTTTGTGTATAAAATTGCTTATATACACAATAATTAAATAAATTAATTTTAAAAAATATTTATTGTATTAATATATTATATACTATATATTATTATATAATTATAATGTATATAAATATATATATATATATATAAATAATATATATGGGCCGTGCCGGCCTATGGACCTAAAACCCCAAGCCCAACACGACCCGCATGATCATGCCGGGCCTGGCACGGTCCGATATACACCTCTACTCTTTCATTTAAAGTGGAAGTTGCTTCACTTTACTTCTCACAAACAAATAAGATAAAATCAAACCTAACACAAGTAAACTAGAATTTACATTCACCCCTTTCGCACTCCTATGCATTTACACCAATGGGAATAAAAAATTGTACTGTTACCAAATGCAACCTCATGGACACATGCCATAAAAAGCAAAAGGTTTCAAAAGAGTAGGATTAAAACCAATGTTTTCCAATTATCATTGGCCTGGATGGTTAGACTGTTCGGACCAGAAACTATCCAAGCAACCGGTTCTGTTTTACCCCAAACCTAGCCCTGTGCCAAAAACCGCTGAATTGATCAACGACCCATTGACCCGGGTAGTCAAACCATTTACCCGTTCAACGGTTTTTAGCTATTTTTTATTTTATTTTTTTAAATTTTTATCAGAATGGATCATTCGTTTGAATCAAATTGTTGAATCATCGACCCAAAAACCAATAGCCAGGACGATTCCGTTTCTGAATCAACTTTTAAAGCATTGATTAAAACTAAATGAAAATATGTCAGTGCGACCCCTTTCACCACATTGATTCAATAATTCATTACAAGGAGGAGGTTGAGGAGGATGTTGCCCATGAAAGAATTATGGGCAAAATTAAAGGGTGCATTTGGATTTTTATGGGATATGTGACCACCACATGAGATAGAAGGAAAATTTTATGAAACATATTGAAAATGGTGTTGATAACTCAAAAAGCAACATGCCAAAAAAAAAAAAATTAATAGCCGAAAACTAATATTAAGATTGATATATGAACAAAGAGAAAATCTATAATACCAAAAGCACCACATGAATTTTGATAAAAACCACCTGATTGGTCACTTCTTTTATAATACCAGTTGATTGGTTATAAATTTTTCCAGTATCATGTCATAGTCGACCCTATGAAAAAACTAAAAAAATTATAAAAAACAGAGTAGAATAGTGGAACATGATTCATGTAATTAACTCCATCTGATTGGGGCGAGTCTTGAGTTGAAAGTTTGTGATATTTACCCATGCAAGTTACTGGATTTGTTTATGATCGAACCAGACCGAGTCTGCATGTCAATGGGGTGTTTGTTGTGTTGAGTGAAAAACGCTTTTTCTTTTTCATGACTGAGTTGGAATTCTCATGATTTTTTATTTTTCGCTGCGTTTGGGACCGATGTAAAATGTCATGGGTGTAAATATTCAAGTCGATTCGATTTTATGAGTGTTTGGAAGGAGTGCACAATCATGATCGACATAAAGCGTCATCGGTTTTACACGGTTCCAAACGCAGCTGGTAAAAGGTTCCTGAGAGGTATATCAAACTACATATATAATATATGCACTAAAATTTAACGTAATACTGTCGAATGCTATAGACGTTTTTACAGGATGAAAATACAGATAATGATCAACAGGGCAAAACGTCACTCACTAAGCAAGCCAGGCCTCCGACGATACACAAAAAGAGAGACAGAGAGAGCAACTTAAGATGAGGAAGTGAAGGTATCAATGATGGTAGTGTGGAGTGGGTCGCTCAAGTGGGTGACCCAGTTGTTGAGTGGGCCTTTACCAGTGACTGCGGCTTGGATGGCAAAGCCCAGGAATGCAACCATAGCCAGACGGGCATGCTTGATCTCTGCCAATTGAAGGGTTACCTTCTTCTCTGGGTCTGCAGCCAAGCCCAGAGGGTCAAAGAATTTCCCACCTGGATACAACCTCTTCTCTGGGTCCAGCTCTGCATTCCTCTGGAATTCAATATATCCAATCACTAGGACCTCGATCCATATCAACGTGGTTATCGAGAATGGAAGAGGAAGCCCAAGATAAGAGGACCCCTCCACCAACTCGACCTGCAAATTTCCATCACAAAATCAATTAAGCCCATGATTCAATAATTTATATCCGATTCGGCCTTGGACAGATCTGGGCTCATGGGCTGGACCCACTACCCAAAAATTGAGTTAAGAAATGATCGAAGAAGTTGGAATACGATTACAACAATACCTTTCCGGCGTCTTGCCAGGTAACTCCGGTAAGGGCTTCAACGGCGAGTGCGCCGAGTGTAGCCAGCATAGCCCAGCGGCCATGAATGAGTTCGCACTCACGGAATCGTTGCAAGCCAAACACCTCTCTGTAGGGCTGGAATGGAGTCGACTTCACGTCTGAGCTCTCGGTTCGAGTCCCGATCACATCACCGGCCAAGTTCTTCGCCAAGTTTTGGTCCAAAGAGTCCAACTCGAACTGAAGGTACTCGGCGGGTTTTCCCAGACCGAAGGGGTCGAATCCGTAGTCACCCACTAAGCTCCCATCGAGCCACTCGGGGGCCTTGGCACCGGGGTACCAAAGTGGCCGATCCGAACTCGGTTTCGACACGGTCTTCTTCGGGGGAGGGGATTTCTTCGTTCCGAATCCGAATCTAGCCTGGAACTTGCCGGTGTTGGAGTGGCCGTCGTGAAGGCGGGATCCAAGAAACGAAGAAGTTGCAGCGGCGGTGGCGGATGCCATGATCTGACGACTGGCGTGTGGCACTTGCGACAGTGAGAGTGGTGGAAGAGAGTTTGCGTTAATGCTGTGGAAATGGAATTATATTTTGGCGATTGGACCATATGTCAAACAATCTTCTGTGGTTTATCCACGATGTCGATATACCAACCGTTGGATGCAAGGGGCGTATCCATCTGACGGATGTCAGAGTCTAGGCCTTATCTTTGCCTTATCTGTGGATTCTCTTTAAGCCTTGCTGTTGGTTGATGCTGGCAAGGGCCGTTTGTGGCTGACATTGCACCGTAAGCAGGGGAAGTGCTACCGAGACTCGAGTAATTGTACGTTGGAATGACGACAAAACACCATACCCTTTCATTGTGAAAGGTGTCCCTCTTGTATTGTCCTTTTCATGTATGCATTGACGAAAAGCAGATCTGGATATGAGCAATCGATTTATTCGGTTAAAAATCGAATGGAATAAATTTGATTTTTTAAAATCGAAATTTAAAATGAAAAATCAAATCAAATCAAAATCTTAATTTTAATTTTTTATTATTTCGATTATAATTGATTTTATTAACCAAAATGTCCGACTCAGTTACTAGGTTTATCTCTAACCAATTATCCTTTCAGAGTAATTTGTGCACACTGCACAGGAAAACCGGATATACAACTTGATTTTTGATTTTGTAACGTAGAGTCTACATAGGATATATTGAACGATATTTTACTGTATGTTAAATCAAGATTTCAATTTAAAAATGTTATATGACCTAATTACTTTTTATTGATTCATGTTTTATGAGATGTATTTACCATCAATAGGAAAAATTAATTTACTGAACTTTAATTAGCATTTCAATTCAAAGCCTTGATTCAAAGTCCCAACTATTAGAGGTTGGTCACGCAAATCCCATCCCGCCATTCCTTATTAGGGATGAATATTGGATTGGCTCGAAATTAGCATTTTGCACTGCTTTGGGCTAGACAAAAGCCCAATCCAAGCCCACCCAGACCTAAGTTGCACCCCTATTCCTTAGGCCTGGTTTGTTTGTTGAGTGGGAATACAAGTTTTGGTTTATTTTATTTTTTACTTTGTTTGTATTTGTAGTAAAGATGATATAAGATAAATCATGAGGCAAAGTAAAATAAAATTCAAAGAAAATTAAACTAGAATTTGCATTTTACTTCCTCTTTTTAACTCCACCTATTAAGGAAAAGCAAAGAGAAATATTTTTAAGTCTTCTATGATTACAAAGAAACTTGGAAGATGGAAAAAAAAATCTTTAAGGCTGCGTTTGGTAGAGGTGTAAATACAAAACTCCATCGTGAAAATAAAAAATGTTCAAATGTATCAGGGTAAAAAATAAACCGACCGAATGCATGTTTTACACTCTTGTGCGTTTGGAAAAATGGTGTAAAATCATCAGCGTACAAATATTGAAGAAGCCATTTCAGGAGCCATTGGAGCCATTGGAACCATTGGAGACAAGGGAAGGGAGGAGGTTGAGCAGATTTTTCTAGAATTTGTTGTTGGAGATAGATAGGTGATGGGCGATGGGACGATGAGATGCCTTGATTGTTTGAGCGTCCTCACAGAGAAGGAGAAGAAGGCGTTTGAACCTTGAACTTGGCACAATGAGAGAGAGAGAGAGAGAGAGGGTCATACGAGGATTGAAACCATGGTGGAAACAGGAGTGTTCCGGTGAAGATTGAAACCACAACATTGAGGGTTATACGTTTTCGGCGAAGATTGAAACCATGCCGGAGCCGGTGATGAAGCTTCTGCTGAACCGTTTCTGTTTTGCCTCTATTCCCAAGCGAAGGAGGCAGATGGTTGCCGGAGCCAGTGATGAAGCTTCTGCCTTTGTTCCCATGGAACTATTTCTGCTGAGTCGGGTGATGGTTGCCACGGAGCTGGTTTCCATGGAGAACGTAGGTGGGTTCAAATCTGCAGCTGCAACTAGTTGTAACGGCGGTGACGGAGAAGAAGAAGAAGAAGGGAGGAAGAAGAAGAGAAGGAGAAGAGAGAGAGAGAGTGCGCGCGAGTGAGAGAGAAGGAGAAGAAGAAGAAGAAGAAGAAGAAGAAGAGAGAAGAGAGAGAGATGTAATAAATACATCGACAATTTCGATGTATTCATTACATCGATTATCAATGTAATTCAACGGTAACATGTTTCGGTGTAAAATTACATGTTTACCGAATGCTTGCAAAATCGAACAGGGGTGTTAAGTTTACCCCGGTTCCATTTTACACCTTTACCAAACACAGCCTAAAGTAAAATGACCTAGTTTGGCCGATAAAAGAAATCCAAGGAGAGAAACAGTCTCTACTCTCTCCTAAAGAAACTTTTTTCATTTTTTTCTCTTTTTTTCTCCACAATTAACTTTGTGTTAGGGATCAGTGATAGGGGTGCCAATTGGACCGGATTTGGTCCAATCTGATTCAGTCCAATATGAGTCTATTACAGATGGATCATGTCCAATCCAATCCAAATACTCTGGACCATTTTGGTCCAGTCCAATTCAATGTTGGGTGCATCTGATATGTTCAATTTGGTTGGTTCCAACCCAAACCTGGTCCACATTGACCATTGACACCTTTATTCTTATCTTTTTTCAATGGACCAGATATTGGTTCATTTTGATCCAATCCAATATAAATCCATAATGGATGGACCAGCCCAATCCAATCCAATAAAAACTTAGGACCATTAAGTCTTGACTGGTCCAATTCAATATATCTTATTGGTCAGTCCAATCCCTCTAAAATTGATTTTGATTTGAACGGGTTCAGTCCAAAACTAAATTTTCTCTTTCAAATCAAAATCAATTTGGATGGACTGAATGGACCAATAAGACATATTGAACTGGACAACTTAATGGTCTAGAAAATTTATTGGAATGAATTGGACCGGGTCCGTCCATAATAGATTTATATTGGATTGGGTTGGTTGACCCAATACCCGGTCCATTGATAAAAAATAAGAATACATGTGTTAATAGACCAGGTTTTAATTGAAATTAAAACCAATTTAAATAGATTGAATGATCAATACATTAAATTGGACCGGTCCAAATTACTTCAAAATATCCATTGGATTGGATTAGACTTGGTCATCTATAATGGACTCATAATAGACCGAATTGGATTGATTCAAATCGGGTCCAATTGACCTGGCACATTAGTTCACACGTTCTTCTTGTAACAATGTCGGTACTAGATCCATATCAGAGTTAATTTTGCAATAACATAGTTTCATCAACATAGTGCAAAAACCGTGAATCACAGCCTTTCTGTGGCTCACTACGACGCCACTTCATTTAATTCAAGGTGGATCACCATATTGAATTGAAGGCTTTGATTTCGTGGTTTTAATGCTGCACGAAAACCATGTCGTAGCAAAAGTGGTTTGTATCCAAATCAATTAACGTGTCACATATGGAGAGCCGTGTTGACGGCCCAAGTTATTGAACGTAGTCCGTAGACAGCCAAAATTTTCTCACCCTTTGAAACAGATAGCTGGGGTAGTTTTTTTTTTTTTTTATTCTTCTTTGCATAAGTTATGTTTGATAGATCTAGAAGAGTGGTCTGGTGTTCATGTAGTGCCTCTATTTTTTTATTATTAAAATAAAAATTTAGGCTCAGGAGTACAAATGCAAATTTATAGAGTGTAAATACATACAAAATAATACAAAATACAAGGTTTTACACTCTTCAAATTTGCGTTTGTACCCTTCCAAATTGAGCCTTATGTGCATTCATTTAGTCCATTTATTTAATGATTTTGGAATTTGCATGTGCCGATTGATTAGTCTCAATAAACATACTATATTAGAAGTACTATATTAATAGGTTAAGAAGATAGAAGCTTGGGCCTATCTTAATGCAATAAATATGGGACATCAGCCCCTCTTAATGCAATAAATATAGGGAAAAAAAGCACTGGATTGAAGTTTGGAAAGCAAAAATTGATCCAAAAATAAAAAATTTTATTTGGAAATATTCTCAAAATGCCGTAGTAGTGAGTGAAAATCTTTATAAAAAAAACTCTCGAATGATAGCATGTGTCCAATATGTAATCAACAGACTGAAACTATAATGCACTATCTTTTTGAATGTGAACATGCAAAAGCTGCCTGGTTTGGCTCTCAATTAATTTTTATGGGTGTAAGAGGTGGATCGAGCATATTCAATTGTTGGTTTTCAGCTTGGGTAGATTTATGCTTAAGAGACAGAGACAAAAAAGATGAATTAATTGCTTTCTCATTTCTGTTATTATGGAATATCTGGAAAGCTAGGAACATTAAGATATTTGAGAATACTAACCCAATTCCCAAAGTTACACTTGCAATTGCTTACATGATGTGGAGGGAGATAGTGATGACTTCCCCAACAAGATTGCAAGATTCTTCACCTCAACATCTGATGGAGGGAGATTTGACCCGACCCCTTGGCTGTGCGACACGTGGAGGCAACCGGGTATGACCTAGCAGGAGCGTCAGCTCGGCACAACGACATAGCCATAGCCCAAGAAGAGGCCCGAGCTCCCCAAGGAGAGGCCCCGAGCTCCCCAAAGAGAACCCGTGCTTCCCAGAAGGTAGAACCCGAGCTTTCCTTAGAAATCCCGAGCCCTACAAGGAACACCACAAAAGGCAAAGCCCAGACTAACCCACCTCGGGTCAATCCGGGCCACGCCCCTGTCCGAACTCAAGACTTCACCTTGTGGACCACTCCGGCACCTCGGCTCTAGGTCGCCTGACTGAACGATCGTACCTGACACCAAAGAAGTTCGTATTCTGAGGCGATGCCCCTGACTGATCAGGGATCTGACACATGACAGCCGCACTCCAACAGCCAGCTGCTAGTGCCATCTCAGTCGTTGTAGAGACGGCTCCGACAGAGAGGACAGTGGCGGTTATGTCTGCCCCTGCAGAGGCGGTTACACTCGATCTGGTAGAGGTTTGGGAGTGAGTGCACCAGGGCGGTTATAAAAGGCCCTATTCCCCCAAAGTAAAGGTAAGTGATACTTTTGCGCCTTTTGGTCTAAGAGAATTTCTCATCTTCCTAGCTTTCTCAAGAGTG